TGGGGGGGGGGAGTAAAACCTCGCTTTAACTGTCCCGACTATAAAATATAGGAAGATATTCGACTAATATGTTAAGGTAAGCTTGTTTTAAATTTTCTCTTAGCTGCAGCGTGCCATCTGCCATTATCACAGGGCCCTCATAATATATACATACGCACACGCATGTATTATATATTGTATATGTGTAAACAAAAATTTCTAAATTTTCCGGACTCCGACAATCGAACCCAAATCGTATTGATTGGTAGTCAGGGACATTATTGACTGTACTACGCAGCATGGCGATATGATCTCTGTTCTTTTTACTAATGGATACGAACCAAAAAACTTCTTAATTTAAAAATTGATCTATTATAGGGTGTTTTTTTTTTAAATATAAAAAAGTGGCGTGACCATCACGATACTCTTATAATTCGATAAAAAATTCCCTTCATAAATTTTCGTGAATTAAATATTAAACGATAATGTGTTAACGAGCTAACGTAAAGAATCATAATCATTGAAACTCACTATAAAGGGGATAAGAGATGATATTGTGCGAAAAATTTGTAATGTATTTTTTACTCTGAAAAATATTGAGAAAACTATGTGAGTGTATGATTGTAGTCGAGAAAATGTCACATTGCGAGTATTTACAATGACTTGCAAAATACGGGTGTTCCAACCAACGATAAATTGCATAAATTTAATGTAAAATTTACACCCTCGCAATTTTAATGAAGCATATACTGTACGGCTACTACAATGCGCGGGCAAAATAATTCTCGGATTCGCGATTGCATAAATATGGGTTATTTATAGGTGACCAGGAACGCTCGTATCTTTTCCGAAAACAATAGGAATTTATGAAAGGGGAATACGAAACGCCTTGGACTATAAATACACTTATTGTGCTTATTTCTAATACCTCGTTAATTGTTTATCAATTAATAATGATTAAGAAAAAAAAAAAAAAAAAAAAGGGGAGGGGATGTACAGCAACGTTATTTCCAAACAAGGGAATTCCAAATCACGAGCAAACCCGTTAAAGTCCGGTAACGCGAAACTTTATCTCGAAAAGCTTAATCAGTAGATAAAGCCGGGTTTAGTCGGCGGCCGTAATTGCCAAAGTACCCAACGAACCAATCGTTTCAGCGAATAATTAAAAGTGGAAAAAAAAAGAATGAAAAATCGCAGAAACGCGAAAAGAAAAAAAGAAAAAGAAGCTGAAAAATCGAGCGTGCGAGTACATTACGCTGCAAAAAAATCGGTAAATAGCAGGTACACGTAGCAGGTACAAGTGGGTCCGTAGCTGGTGCTACTTGTACTAGTCGGGCAATTTTCGGGTTACGTCTCCGGCGCGTGGGTAAGAATTAGCTCGCGGATGAGGATTATCGGTTGCACATCGTATACTCCGCGTATAGTTTCCCGCCCACATCCCGTGTTTGCGAGGACAGCATATAAAAACGGACCTGCGTCCAGTTGGTCAGGCATTTTTTTTTCGCTACCTGCTCGGTACAGCGCGATATATATATTTTTTTTTGTGTGAGTTACCGAGAAAAAAATGGTAGCAAGAGTGCTGTCGGTGGTTGTCCTAGTCTGCTGCCTCCAGGCGGTCTTTGTCAGTGCTGGTAAAGTGAGTTTCATCGATCGCTAACGAGAGATCATCGATTTATCTATTACGGCATGAGAAAAAAGAAAAAAAAGAAAAAAAAGGTGCGAGTGATATTATAATTCCTTCCGTGTTTTCGTAGCGCCCGGATTTCGTCACCGATGAGATGATGGAGATCGTAAGGCCCGACAAGGAGAAGTGCATGGCCGAGCACGGCACTACCGAGGGTGAGTTTGTTTGTTTTGACAAATTAAATAATTTTGAGAATTTTCAAGCGACTTTGTATTGCGACGGCGTAAATGATTTTGCAGATCTGATCGATGAAGTGAACGATGGCCATTTGCAAGACAATCGCGCCATCACTTGTTATATGCACTGCCTCTTTGAGGCCTTCAGTTTAGTAAGTGTGTCGAGAAATCATTATTTTCTAACGAAAGTACAAAATTTAAAAAGCAATAATAATGTAAAAATAACAATCCGGGGGGGTTTGGTGAAAAAATCAGATAGACGATGACGGTGAGCTCGAAGTTGAGATGTTGGTCGGTTTTATACCCGAGGAGTTCAAGGCGGTCGCCGAAGATCTGATCGAGCACTGCGCACATCTGAAGGGCACTGATCCTTGCAACACGATGTTCGTCATGGCCAAGTGTGTACAGGACAAACGCCCCGACGTGAGTAACACTTTACTCCGAGCAAAAAATTTTCATTGCATCCAACTAAAAAAATGTGTATTTTTTGGGTTTGTCGTTGCAGCTCTGGTTCATGGTTTAAGACCCAAAAGTCGACGCGGAGCCCTAAAATCGGCAGTGGTCCGCGATCAATCGGACGACACTAGACTAGCGGCAGCCGCTATTTTTTGGAATTTTTTTGGTGACGATAATTCAATCATCCACGAGACAATTTGTCAATCGTGAAAACGGAATGTTGTAGTAAATGCGAGCGCATTGTATTTTATTTTTGTCAATTACATACGTACAATAAATGTAAATTTTTTTTGGAAGATAATAAACATAAAAAATTCTGACACCTAATAATGATTTAGAATGAAAAAAAAAAAAAAAAAAAGAATGACTCTTAAAAATATATTTAACTGCTCACGTGCAACTACTGCGTGAAAACTGCGTGATAAAACACGAGATAAAACATGTATAAAAAAGCGCATACAATATTTTTTTTTCTCATGCGGGTGTATTTTGAAACGATTCAGGTAAATCGATAACAGCAACCAATTTCTTCTATTTTTTTTTTTTTTTTGTAGTTAACCTTCGTAGTGCTCATTAACACATATTTTTTCAACTTTCTACCCAACTACGTGAGTACACTAAAAATATATTGTAATTTGTTACAACAAACAATTAATAATTTCATGAAACAAAAAAAAATAAATAAACGAGACAGTTGTGTTTGTCTATGACAAAAGATAACATAAAAATGTGCTTCAGCTACGAGAAAAAGTAGAATATATACATCGAAAACGATAAAACATCAACAACAGCAGCAGTCCAAAAAAAGGAAAAAAAAAAAATCAAACGATCCGATCGAAGCAACAACACCAGCGGCCATCAAATGTTCCTCTCTCGTCGGCCAGAGAGAGAGAGCATCGGGTTATACCTGAAGGTCGATCGGGTGTAGGGCAGCCGGTGTCGCGATGGGAACGACCAGAGCCTCCTGTCCAGCGCCGGGGTTGGCGTTGTTCGTGGCGTTGACGTTCGGTAACGAGCCGCCGGCGCGAAACTGATTGCCCAGGCTTATGTGCAGCAGCTTGCCGCTCGACTGGGGTGGACTGGCGCCCGCGCTTTTCACCGACAGCGGCCGGCCCGCCGCTCCGGTGTCCCCGGCAGAGTCCCGGCACCCTCCGGACACTGCTGCCGAGGTGCTGCCCGTGGGTGACACGTTCACCGAGCTGCTCGCCGAGACCGCCTTTTTTACAAGCCCTCAACTTTAGCGTGGCCCAATGGCTTTTTTTCATTTTATTTTATTTATTTTTTTTTTTTTATTTGTGAGGGGGTAGACTGATGGGATTAAATAAAAAAAGCTTGGTGTTGGTTTTTTACCGCCATCCGTGGAAAGGTTCTTTGTTCGATCGCTGGCTTTGTTGTGCGCATAGACGCGCGGGCACGGCTTACATAACTTTGCTGTTACTACTGATGTGCAATTTTTTTGAATGAGACTTGGGAAATCAAGCCAAAGTTGGGGTCTTTTTCTCTCTCTCTCTCTCTCTCTCTCAAGCGTTTGACCAGTCATTGAGTATTTTTTTTTTTTTTTTCATTCAAATTATCCACAGAAGTTTATCGTGGATAATGGCTGTAGTGGTTACTAACGGTAATCAGGTACAGTGCAACTGACCATACAATTTTACCGGCCATCGCGTAGAAATTCAATTAAAATTTTTTAATTCAGCAAGATCCGGTTTGGTTTTTTAATGACATATATCATACAAGAAACTAATTAGGAAAGGTGCTGTTTTAGCTGAAAAAAAAATTTCAATTTTTTCACATTCCGGCAGATCTAAAATTTTCAACCGAGTTTTCCATGGCTTGTAGCTGTATTTTTTTCCATAAAGCTTACTTTCCAAGTAGGCCAAGGTCGATCAACTTTTGAAACGGTTTATGTTAATTAGTTCGGAGCCATGTTATCGTGAAAGCTGCGGGCGTCATGGTTTTCCCTCTCTTAGTATGATCGAGAGAAAATAAGTAAGTGACTCTCGAGTGATGTTGGGTCTTGGATGTAAAACAAAATGATGATTTATATATTAGACGTTAAGCAGAAATTTTTAATGAAATTAAAAAAAATAAATAAACAAATACACGTTGTACACGACGTAACTACCAGTGTAAGCCAGTTAAAAGTTTGTTTTAATTAATCCAAACAATTTTTGACGAGCCAGACGTTTGTAAATTTTTTCTTACATAATCTCAGCTGCAGCCACGTGGCTGCATTTTTTTTCCTTTCTTTTTTCTTTTTTTTTTTTTTTTTTTTTTTTTTTTTTTTTTTTTTTTTTTTTTTTTTATACATAGAAAAGGGCCTGTGACATTTTGCATCGGCAATTTCCAATAACTATTATCAAACCAAGTTTTTCGATTTTTTTTTTTTTTTTATTTTTTGATTTATTATATTATGCATGCCCGTACGAATGATTTAATAGAAGAAAAAAAATTTACAGATTAAACTCCGTTGTCTCACTAACCATGTACCTAGTGCCTCAATCGCGCACACACGTGTTGACAACAGTTCGCGCTATACATATCGTTGAACTTGAGTTTCTTTGGACGTTAGATCGGATAACGAAATTGTAAAATAACATCTTTGTGTAAGTTCGAGCGTATATTTAAATTTGGTACGTATCATTGTTTGTGGTAATGCATCTATTTTGATATAAATTGTAGATGCATCGTTTGGACCACATAATAGAAGAAAGAAAAGGAATAAAGGTAAACATTTATTTCGTCAATACTTTTTAAGAGGAAAATATTGCACCAGGAATGTGCACATCATACAAATATGAGGAGAATGTGGAAGGAGGAGCAGGAGAAGAGGTCAAACTGGTCCCAGAGAGATGATGCACACAAGCATGTGTGTGAACGCTACACGTGTGCGGGAGGAAGCTCTCGCATTTCATCAGCGTTAATGAAAAAAAAAAAAAAAAAAAAAGTCCTTATCACCACCATCTCGTCTCGTACGGTAGGTGTGTACTTGCATAATATATATCCATGGTGAAATCATCAGCACACATAAGTAAGTACGTACTTGATGAATGGGTAGGCGTCAAGTACTAGCAAAATTGTTAACCCCTCGCGACTCTCTTGTGTTTACATTTTCTTCTCGGCCGAGAGAGAGAGAGAGAGAGAGAGAGAGAGAGAAGCTTTTTAACTTCCGTTTTTGTAAGTATCTTGCCTACATTGGTGTATATCTACATTCATGCATACATACCTACATACATAATAAACTCGGGCGCCTATACATACCTACATATCATGCATACTTCATGTATGTTTCTCCTTTGATCCGCCTCATCTTTTGCCCACCTGCGCACGCGACCGTAAATACATACCTAAATATCCACGTTCTGCTCCAAAACTACCTGATCATATGGATACAACATAGGTACACACTTTTCCCCGCATACGCCGCGCGGGTGTACTTATTATATATGCAGCAACTCCGGGGTCCCCCGGGCGATGCACCTGACCCCCTCCCCTACTCGTGGATTATAGATTTCCCGGGTTCGGAAGGTAAACAAAAGAAGAAAAAGAGGAGCAGCAGCCGCAGCTGCGTAAAGAGCAGAGGATAACCGTGAGTCAATGTTTTTTAGGTTTAGTGAGCTCCGAAAAGAGGAAATAAATGTGATCGAGCACAGTGTGAGAGAGAGATAGAGAGGGAAGGAGAAAGGAGAGAGATGAGCTGCAATGGTAGATATCTGACGATGGTTATGGTGCAGGTGACGCTGACTATTATTATGGAGATTACTCACCCTGTTGGTAACATCAGAGACCTCCTTCATGATTTGCTCGAAGCGGGCCGCCTCCTCGGCCGCCTTCTGGTTGAGAAGGGCTATTTTTTCACTAAATTTTCGTGGGCTAGCCATGGTTATACTCCTTATGTATACGTACACAACTGCCACTATATCACAACCTCCGGTAAAACTTGGCCCAGCACCTCTCTCACCAAGTCACCATGTTAAAAAGCCTAAGCACGATGATGATAAGCACCTCAACGCCACATCAACATTATAATACATCGACAACAGCAACAGAAACAACTTTGCTGCGTGATCATCAATGAGCTGTCTTGCTGATGCCGCGATACGATACCTGCTTATTTATTTTTTTTTTTTTCAACAAGTTTATGGTGTATACCAATCACTTGAAAGTAAACACGTTGTGAGCACCAATGCAACGGGGGAGAGGGTTATATTACACCGCCGGCTGCTGCAGCAGGAAGCAAAATTAATTTTCTCTCTCACCCTTGCTCCGATAATTTCACTTATGGTGCTTGTATGTTACTTATATCAAAAAACACAACAATAAAAAAAAAGAAGAGGCTGCAGCCTTGGCGTTGCAGGCTGGGACCGACTGGCGCAGCCGACGACGACGGCGACGACGGTAATAACAACGACGGCGACGACGACGACGCTGTTCTTGTGTGCCACGGCTGCACGGGAGAGCAGAACAGTCGCTCGCGTCGTCCTCCACCTTGAGGCTACTCCTCGTCTTCAACTGCAGATCCACTTTCTCCCGATGTTATGGCTGTTGTTGTTGTTGTTGTTGTAATAGTCGACGAACAGCAGATGTTGTTGTTGTTGTTATCAGGATCGCTGCTAGATACGTGTACATGTATAGATATACACGCAGTACATTACACTACAGCGTCTACTGCTATACTCCGCATCAGCGCGCGCGCGCTTCCTCCTCCTCCTCCTCCTCCATGACACACCACGCACTCGCACTTATACTCATCGTTATATGATGCTCTGCTCTACGTGTTGTTGTTGTTGTTCTTGTTGTTGTTGTTGTTGTTGTTATCTTATATATTACGGATATTTCGGAGCAACAATAGAAATAATGAAGCCACTTTTGATTCTCTTCTTGTACATATGGTCTCACACGTTACTCAATGTTATTACAACTGACTACTCTTCCCTCCTCCTCTTGGTCTGCTGCTCCCTCTCTCTCTCTCTCTCTGGATTTTTTATACGCATGTTAAGTATATGTTGTACAACATTGTACATACACACACATGCTCAACATGTTGAAGTCTCATGAATACAAACTAGTACCGTAGTATCATGTAGGTATCACTGTATGCGCGCAAGAGTACCAAACTAAACTGAACTTAAAAAATTCGAGCCCCGCGCTCTGTAGAGAAACAATGTGCACACCACAAACAAGAAATTGTGTAAGTATAACTAATATATATATATATATATGTATATGTGTATAGGTATATACGTACGAGCCAACAAACTAAGATATCGCGTTTTCCAAAATCTGGATTTGATAATGTATTCACGTTTACGAATTTACGACCCAGACCCACGCCCTGCGCCAGTAGCATCTCCGGGTCACGAACAGCCCGATCAGATGTACGTGCATCACCACTCCTACTATACTTAGGTACTATCAAAACGAGGAACTCGTAAAAATGAGCTACTTACTGAGAGATTTTTTAACTACTCGAGGAAAACACCCAACAACTTGTTCGTACTTACTCTCAGTTGGTAATAATATTAATTATCACATGTAAATAAAATACTCCAAAACATAAACAATGTCACCACCGGCCACTAGCAGCGCTGGCATCGGGATACTTTTATATAGGTTCGTTTAGGATTTAGCTCGGAGCTCCTCCGAACTTCGCCCCAAAACACGCGTTTTAGACCAAGAGCTGAGGCAGAAGATCCGAAATATTTTTGTCATAATTCATTCTGATGAAGAGTTTTGTTGGTATTCAAGAAGTGCCATATGTTTTTTTTTTTTGTTTTTTTTTATAAACCAGCCGCAACTTAGATCTATAGATAGATAATAAAAAGTTATTACCTACTGGCACTATTTGCGGCAAGATTAGAATGCATCTTGTATCCGAAAATCGACCTTCAAAAAAATATACCCCCTACCCGATCTTATCTATAATACTAATCTAATAATATATGCGGAACTGTAGATAACATTATAGATAAGAATACAATATCTATATTTTTGGAGGTCGATTTTCGGGTACAAGATGCATTATAATCTTGCCTCAAATAGCACTGTTGGAAAGCTTTTTATTTTAAATCCAGTGATGAAAACTGCGGCTGGTTTATAAAATAGACTATCTGGCACTGCTATAATTACCACATAACTCTTCACCACTATGAAATATGACCGAAATATTTTGTATCTTCACGAATCATGAGGATCCTCAAGTCTGGTGACAGTGGCGGCTGGTTAAAATTTTTACCACCCTTCGGCCGCAGCTCTTGGTCTATTCAGGGTTATGTGATTTTCGTGTAATCGCGCAGTGACTCAAATCGTGTCAGTGAATCAGTATAGTCAGTGTCGTCGCCGTCGTCGGGAAGCAAATTACACGTGGAATCGGTGGAAGTGCGGGATCCTCGAGAAATATATCTTGACACGTGCGGAGATCGTTCAAAGCAAAGGAAAACTCTAGGAAGTAGTGATGCTGCAGCGGTAGCATTGGCTAATTTGAGAGATGGGCCGTAAGATACCTGGGAAAAAGCACAGGGGAGTCAAGGATCCGGAAAAACAGCGGGCCAAGAGGATATCCGAGTAAGTTCAAGATTTCTTTTTTTTTAATTTTTGATTATGGGTGCATCGTAGGGGACCATTTAATTACAGAGAATTAAAGCTATTATTTAGATTACAGACAAAAATCAATGCACCGCCAAAAAATGTCGACGAGCAGGAGATCCCCCGGAGTTTACAACGCCTCATGAAGTTGAAAAAGGCCGTTGAGGATAATAAATTTGAGCACAAGAAAAGAAAAAGGAATAAGAACAAGTTGATCAGGATCGGTGCGGGGCAGATCAGGAAACCTCATCCCAAAGCACGGCCGGAAAAAATTGTGCCAATTTTCAATCAACGACCTGACGAAAGTCCCGAGAAATTTTACCATAGGATAAGTAGAGAAACCGAGGCTTTTGTAAAGGAAACTCAGTTTGAGACAAAGTACAATGTTGATGTGAAGCGTAATCCCGAGACTGGCGAAATCAAGGGTGTCGACAAGAGATTCAAGGATAATATCGACAAGATTGAAGATCTCAAGAAAAAGCACAAAAACGTGGGCAAGAGGAAGAAGCTGACTGATGCCGATGGTCATCCTAAATTGACTAAAGCACAAAAAAAGAAGCAAAAGGTACTTGAAAAAAAACAAGAGGATGAAGAGATTCTGGACTTTGATCGATTTAAAGACAAAGTAGAATTCGGTGATATTGTTCATGCACCTCCAGAACTAAAGTTGCCGAGGAATGTCAATAAAATTAACAATAAAGTAAGTATCGCAGTAACGGGTGTACTTGTAAAAAGTGAAAGATGTTTTTCATTGATTGTATATGTTTATAGGAAAAAAATAAGAACTTGTTACTAAACTCTCTTCTTCAGGAGAATCAATCTTTAAAGAATCATAGTATAACAAAACCAATCAACAGGACTGGAAAGAGGAAAAATCTTCCCATAGGAGAGAGACGGCAGTTGGAGAAGCAACAAAAAGATGTCGTCTCTGCCTATAGGCAGCTGAAAGCAAAGAAGTTTGGAGAATCCGTAGTTACAGCATAAGGTTTTCACGCAATATTATTGTTTTTTTGGTTTATTATTATTATTAATTTTTAATACAGCAAATTAAAATAGGTACCTAGCATACTTATGATACATTAGTTTTGTTTTTTCATTTTCACAATTATCACAAACACAACACACACAAAATATCATCCCGTTGTCCAAACAAAAGGCTCAAGCCTCTCCTCGACAGGTAGCACATTGTTAAGTGTCTCCAAACTTTCGAGCGTCTGATTGAGCTGCATGTGGCACTTGGTCAGCTGCCTGCTGAGTTCGTGAACTTTGCCCAACTGCTCGGCTAGCTTGGCAAACTTCTTTTGCCTCTCAGCTGCCACCGTCATAAGTTTATTCACCTCGGCGTCAATGTTTGTAACAAGGGCATTCTGCTCACCAGCTACCATTTGCGCACTAACATTAAGATGATGCTGGTACCTAGCACACAGATTAAACAATCCAATAGGATCCAGTCTCTCGAGAACCTCGGGATCCCTCACTCTGGGAGGCAAATTCAGTGTCCCCCTCATGATAGGCAGAAACATGGGAATGTCCTTAAGTTTTTGCAAATCAGGGTCCACCTCGTTTGCGGGATTTGAGACCGCAGGTTTAACGACGACAATGTTGTGTGCCTTGTCGGACAAATTAGCAGCCTTTTTGTAGTCCAGAGTACCCCCTGAAGACTTTCTTCGAGGCTCCTGAGCACCAAGGCTCTTGCCTCTAAGAAGCTGAGACTGTTTGTTGTTGGTCATCTTTGGGGAATCTCCTATCGGCCTGTTAACCGTGTAAGATATGTAAGGCAGATCCGAGTCCGAGCAAACGCTCAGCCCGGGACTCGAGCAGCGCGGCGGCGTGTCGTCGGGCAGACTTTCTCGGTTGGGTACGCTTTTACCTCGGCGCAGGGGCGTAGCTTTGGTTCGTTTGTCGGCCTCCTGGACACCAACGGCTTGCGTACTATGCTCCGAACCCATGCTCGAGTCTTCAATAGAGAAATTTAAATTTTTACCACCAACCTGCTTGATATTTTCAGTTTTTTTTAGCCATAAAAATAACCTTATTCTATAAGTTATACACTCCCTGTCGTAAGTCAAACGACAATCACATGTTTATGCACAATTCTCTGGTATATACTTTAACCTCGTGTGACACTGCATTTTGACAGTTTCGTATATAGATTTTGAACGTTGACACTCTGCAGACGACTTCTGATACTTGCACGCTTACTTATACCTATATATATATAAATGAAAATAAACGCAGTATTTTTATATATTTTACTTGGTACAGTCGCAGCCGCAAACTCGATCGACATCACTTATCTATATATAGTGCAGTTACGCGGTTAGTAGGTACATATATAGGTACACCTAACTACAGAGTGCAGACGTCCGATCGAGAGTTGACCGGCAGGTGCTGACATCTGTAATAAGTATTTATATTAATCGATACTGCTTCAGTATTATTATATACAACAACTTATGTGAAATTGTTTGGTAAATGCTTATCAATCGTAATATTGGTTTTCGAACCAACAAAGCAAGTATTTGAGCTCGAAGGGATCGTTTCCCCTCCGTAAAACGACTGCGCAATGGCAGCTAATCCTTTTGTTTACTTCAGAAAACGTTGCCCCTCTCTAACGGCATAATAACAATGTGAAGCTGTATTTGTTAATCTTCCCCGAATAAGTTAAGTACCGACGCGAAAATAATCACTGCTCTCTCGTTGCGGTCACGGAATGTAATTTAATTACTCAAGTCTTTACGACAGACTTGAGATTGTTATTATGTCTTCCTTTACTACATCTCTTTTACTATTTGATGTTTGAATTTTTTTTTTTTTTTTTTTAATATTTCCCGTTTACCAATCTCTAGAAACGTGTATGCATATAATACAGAGACCGAAAATATAGACTTCATTATTTACGTACACCCATGTTTTACGCAAAGGTATTCAACTTGGTTTATTGTTTCTCTTTTTTTTTTTTTTTTTTTTTTTTTTTTTTCTCTCGTGGACGCGAATAAAACGGCCATCGTAAAATCAAAGCTGCAAAAATTAAAAGTGCCTACTGCCGCAGCGGCAACTTTCCCAGCTCAATATTTTGATAATCGGATCGAACTTAACGATCCCGGCTTGTCGTAAAAGCACAATTGTTAAGGCAGTCGATAAAAAATAAATAAAAACTCAACTTTCCATCTCGCGTTCCTGTACACAATGGTCTTCGAGCTGCCTGCACGCAGGAGGACACACAGTACATTATGTAGTATTATATAAATATGTACCTCTCATCTCATGGAAAACATTACCTTACATGTATATACATAAATGATATATTGTGTTACGGCTCGCGATTACATTATCATCAATAAGCGAGAGTTTATACGTATGCATGCAAACGCGTGTGCTTTATATATCGAGGAATTCGTTATTGAGCCTCGCTTCGTCGTCGGCATCATCTGCATCCGCGTCTGCAGCCTCCGACTGTCTTATCTCGCATATTTACTCTCTCGAAACAAGAGATGCTGCTCGAGATTGAGCTTGCGAGTCTCTCTCTCTCTGCATGTAGTTATTCGTGACTAGGTGTATTTATATAGCCGCGGCTAAGCGATGTACATAGACTAATCTATGGTTGCCCCCCCCCCCCCAAGTCAAATATGAACACCTACGCTGTGTCACGTGCAATGTCACACTCTCGGCACGAAAATCGATAATCTAATCGACAGGGGACTTTTCGGTCCGTTCTAGTCAACTCGGCTATATAAATATATATCTCTTCTATATATATATATATTCTTAATTTGGGCAACACACAGAGTATAATATCCTCTTGAAAATTAATTTAAAAAAATACTTTCCTCGAGATACCGCAAAAGCTTGATAGCTATTGAGCATATATCTGCCGATAAACAAAGGGGCAATAAATAACACTATCGGCACTTTTGATAATTTCGCGAAGCGTATAAAAAGGCTGCTCATGAGTACCTATCCAACACGATCGGGACCGTAAAAATCATGCGCATAATATATAGTTACATAATGTAACCAAGAGTCCACCCCGAATTGGAAAAACCCTGTATGTAAGTATAATATGTCCATTGAATCGGCCGGGCTGGTCTGCTTATTCATACAGGTAAGTCGGCAAAATCTTTTCAACGACTGTTTTCTTCGAGTAGAATAATGATATGCCCGAAAGCCGATAATCCGGAGCTGCAGATAAGCCACGGGTAGTTTGATAGCTATGCTTATATGTCGCATTGCCCGTGGCAGCGCGAAAATAAAGACGAAGAAGATGACGAGAGCGAGAAAAATAAGAAAAAAGAGGCGCGCGCGCGCGCGCTCCCCAGTCGCTAGAGAAGTAGTAGGTATAGTATTAGCGTATAGCAGCCGCCAGCTGATTCAGTAGTCGGCGAGCTCGGCTGGTGCTCGGGTCGGTTCTTTTCGGCGCTCCGCGTGTCGTACGTTCAAAAAAACTGTTCGCTAATCGCCCCTCGAGAGGGCCATTATTTACCATTGCCGTGACGGTGGCCAATTGCACCGTAGCGCCTACGAATACCTCGTTACTTTTCAAAAGCTGAGAGCCAAGAGTACACAAGAAGAAAAAGACGAACAAGTACTTACTAGCACCGGTGTTTTCTTATTATTTTCATCATCCATTGCTTAGCCACGCGCTGTCGTTGCATTCAGGTACGTCATGCTAAGTATAATAAGTATTTGCTCCAAAGTAGTTGTTACTGCGATTTGCGGCTCCCCTTTATTTTTTTTACGTGTACCCATTATTATTATTATTATTATTATTATTATTATTATTATTATTATTATTACTATTATTATTTTGTATACGGTTATCAATCAAAAACCAACAATTTCATCTATGTGTGTTAAAGGGTGATGATCGGTTATAATAATAATAATATGATGATGGCATGCGAACAGAAGGCGTCAGTTGGTGCAATTATTGACAGATACAGATACGATAAGGTGCTTACACCGAAAATGTATTGGAATATTATAACTTCATCGAATTAGTCTTTTAAGTACTTATCTCATACCAAAAAAATGTGATATGGACGGACAGAGAGAGAGAGATATATACGCTACGTTACTTTTGAGTGAGCGGTAATGAACGAGTTAACGCACACGTTTGTAGATACTAAGTATATTCTATATGCTTATGATGTAAAATGCCGGAGTAGATCTACTTATAATGTAAACCCGAAGAGACACTGCACTTCATAATGTACTATGTATACCTAAGTACATGTCGGTACGATTTGTCAACACACGGTCAACGACGTCGTACGGTCTATGACAAAATTGAGGCTCGCTGTTACTCAACCCGCATACCTACCTACTTGACACACACACACACACACACACACACACACACACACACACACACACACACACACACACACACACACACACACACACGTGTGTGTATTATAACGAACCGATTTTTCAAACCGCAAGTCTGCTGTAAGTATATTTTATTTGCATGTTTATTTGTTCCTTCGAATATGCCTATACTTTCAAAAGAAAAGAACTAGTATAGGTATCAATTGGGAACTGCTTTTAAGTATAACTTGCGTGTAAGTAAGTATATATTATAAAGAGAATAAACAACTTTACGGGCAATGCTGTTCAAATTTTATTGTGTCGTGACAACGTTTCAACTACACTTTGGCAGTCCTTCTCAAGTCTCTAAATTTAACAATATAAAATAAACTTTTAAGAATCACAATAGCTTAAGTAATTTCTAAATTTTTCCTTATAAACATAGTTTTTACAAAAAATAAATAAATTATTACACTTACAAATTCGACGTTAACAAAAATATTACTGAGCAAAGTCAATTCGTATAAGTTAAGTACATCTTTTCTTGCTCGTAAGTAATGACTAGACAATAACAAGGCTTACAGGTGGTGCTAAATGTAGTCGAAACGTTGTCACGACACAATAAAAATTGAACAGCATTGCCCGTAAAGTTGTTTATTGTCTTTATACATTCCTCGCTGTTCTTGGAATCCTCTTAGTGAAGTATATATTATGTATTAATACACGTGTCATATTGTATCGTGGTGACAATAGCCAGCTGACGAGAGCGTTTAATCAAATGCATGTCCGTTGCAAATGTTTTCCTTGCTAAATAAATATATGGACGCTTTATTTTTGCGATGTACTCGAGTGGCCGTAAAACTAGCACGTGCAGTCCTTTACGTACAATGATGATGTTTAAAAAACTTGAGTAAGTAGGTATATATAAAACTCAGAGTTGCTTGTTCGTCCTCTCTATGGCACCTCTCGTGTATAGGTACTTATTTTATGCAGCTTCTGTCAAAGTTACATCCACCTACAAACTTATCAAGTATATGACAGTAGTAGGTACTGCACATGCTAGGCGCGCACATACGTATATGTGTGTGTGTTTGCATGACCCTCGCGCTATTGCGTGATGCGTTCCGCGTTATCATTCAATGCACACCCAATAACCCACGCACATCTATACAATATATGTATATATGAATGAGTATTTAGATTTATTGTGGATGATTGCGTATAGGAGTAACATCAAATCCGTACGGTACATAAGTACTCGCCCCATGTGCACTTTGTACTCTGCGTCGGCAAGTAGGTCGGTCGCCGTTGAAATTTTAATTGCCGGCTTTTGATGCGCGTGCACGGGGCACCTATATAATACATATACACACGCCCACATCTCACCCCCTATGTGCGGTGCACGACTGGCCTTTCTCCTACTCCTCTGTATAGCTGTCCCGAGGGTGTGCGATGCGGAAAAAGAGAGAGATTTCCCTTCCGACTTGTGTACGTATATTATTTTCACTTTGCCATTACGCGTCACGTTCGTCGAGAAGTGCCCGTATATACGAGGGAGGAGTCAAGGTCGCGACCTTCTTTCTACGTATCACACGTTACAAGTATATATACATATACATAATATATGATATAATCCGAAGATTATTCTCGCGCCGAGACGACGATAAGCCGACGCTCGCCAAGACTTTTTTTTACTCTTTACTTACCCACCGCTTCTGGCTTTGACGTTTTACCGCGACCCAGGCGTATGGCTATTTTTTATTATTGACTCCAATTTTTTTTCTCCCCCCGCAGTCCAGCCTCGGTCGATGGTATGTAATGCACCGCCCGCCCATCTGTAATGAAATTCCATTCGAGTCTCGCTCCAATTTTCCCTCTGATGTACATCGCGTGTTTTATATGCTCCTTTCGAATGAAACTCCCGCGCTCAAGATCGCTCTAATTTTGCGTTACATTATATATTATATACATATTATATACCCACTGATGCCGCGGATGCTGATATATATATACATATATATACGTACGCACTGTGTATCATGAGAACTATAAGCTATACGCATTATGCTTGTAACACAAAAAGTTCCGTTCTATGGAAAAAAAAAAAAAAAAAAAAAAAAAAAAAGCAAACCTATACTAGGTATACACGTATGGATAATTGTCTTCTATCTTACGGATTGTGTATGTTAGTATCGAAACGGTTCTTTTTTTTCCGTACGGCTTATACTTATGCAATGATAATAATAAGCTTGCGCGTGACCTTCTTGCTACGAAAATACACAGTAAATTTTCTCCTCTTTTCAAAATTACTTTGATATTTAAATACAAAGGCACGTATACGCGCGCACACTGGCATTTGGAGCAAAAGCGTCTGGAGGTACATTACTTATATGTACCTTCCCGGAACCAAAGCTCCGCGCTCCTATACTTACCGGTGAATTGGATTCCTCGACCATTTATTTGCACGTTGGTTATCTATTGTAATTGTGCAGTACGCACCCAAAAACGTGACTTGCTCTTTCGTCCTCTGCTGACAACAAGTATACTTTACCCACGCGGTACCTACGCATCGTCTTCTTAGAGCGCGGTATTGTACACTTTTTGGACAAACACTTGTCTAGAAGTATTTTCCATGCTACTGACATACCTATCTACATGGGGCACCTACACATATTATGTATATACGTAGTTTTCTCGGGATGCACGTAATAAGTATAGATTTTGCGAGATTTTGTGCTGTAGCCATTCGTCGAGTTTCGTTGCACATGCATGGAAGTAACGAGGGGCTGTACACGTGATTTAAATGATTCAAAATCACGATTGAATCGTTTTCAATCATGAATAAAAACTTAAACATTGAATTCTAAGATAATTATGTGTTAAAGCATCGGCGGTGCTTACTCGTCTAAGAGCGTATTTTATTTATTAATAATACCAAAAATAAGCTATACTTTCAAAAATTATTCAATAGTTTATGCAAACTTTATAACTTATACGTGTGACGAATGATTCAATTTTTTTAAAATTATTTTTCAATGTTTTCGTGATTTTTTTTTTTGGTCAAATGCTAATTTGCATCAAAGGATTCATAGATTCATAGATTTTAAAAAGTGCTATTGAAACCAGTTTGTAACTGCATAATCCTTTTTATTTCTTAAATAAAATGGTTTTAGCTGTGTAATTAAAAGTCAGGGTAAAAGTAGTCGTACGAAGCTAAAAAAAAAATTAACAAATTTTTGTGATTCACGCGTACATAGGTATGGTATATACATATAAAAATCGATGACTTGAATTTTTAGCGCTCATGCACAACACTTGATTATCATTACTATGATTTACTATGTTTATTTTCATTGCCAATGTCTGGTCAGGTGTGCAAATCGGTATTGAAATTATGTTTTCAGTAATCCACAAGCGCAATGCAATAGCCTATATGAATTGATTTTACAATTTATTGGTCAATATCTCGAGAGCCTTCTACGAACCCTTGGGGCCCCAATGGTTTTTCATTGAACCGTGCTAATACGTACAAGTGCCTCCTTGCACTAATGACGCGAAAAAAAAAGACGTATACATATTACCTTGATGTCGTGTGTTTTCTGCATCGGCTCCGTTGGTTATTATAACCACTTTTCACTAAAGCGGGCGACATTTATTAATAACCGTCATTACTATACCTTGAGCCCGAAGTGACTAAATGCTACCGTCTCTCCGAACGGGACATTAAGTAAGCGCTAACTATATGAGTACTGCATCGTCCGTACATTATTCGTATTACAAATAAAATTAAAAACGAGGAAGCACATATATATTATACGGGCAGACTTGTCATCGGGATAGCGGTATAAGGTACATGTTACAAGGGTAGACGGTCGAAAACTCACCGAACGAATATAGGTGTTGTTGTACGGAAGGTAGGAAGGTGGTATACTTTGCACCAACCTGATGTTCTTGACAATTTTCAGAGGGACTCGGCTCTGTCGTCATATTTATATTCATCTACTTGAACTTTTTTTCCTTTTTTTTTTTTTATTTTTTTTTTTATTTTATAGGTATGTGTATAATTTTGTCGAGAATCGTTCTCCTTGCTCGCGCCGTTGGCGTGGAAAAACTTGGTGTCTTTATTTTCTTTCCTTTGGCATATATTTCGTCCAACGCGACCTTGGGTAATATTGTACAGCAATCCAAATGGGTTGTAGCCAATCGACTACGCCGCTGTTTTATGGGTACTGCAGCGTTACCGAAAGGCGATATTTATCGCTATCGTATTTATTGCACGTGCCGAGCTTTGACGAAAACGAATTATTCGATGGCTCGATATTGGAAACTGATCTATGAGTAGGGGAAAA